CCCCAAACCCCTCCTAGTGCCCCCCCAGCCCCTCTCATTCCCCCCCAAGCCCCTTCCAGTGCCACCCGGTCCCTCCCACTCCCCTTCCAGTCCCTCCCAGTGCCGCCCAGTCCCTCCCAGTGCCCCCCGTACCGGTCGATGCCCCGCAGCAGTTTCCCCACGTTCGCTCTCATCTGCTCGAACAGCGCCATCTTGGCCGCCTCTCCCGGAAGTGACGTCACATCCACTTCCGCCCCGCCGCGGGACGGCTCGGGCTCCATGGCCCCACCCGCCGCGCTAGGCCACGCCCCCTAAAATTTGCATAGGACACGCCCTCTGTGTGCAGATCACGCCCCCTTGTTCTGACCACGCCCCTCCCAGTCCCGGACTGGGACAAACTGGGGCAAACTGGGGCGAACTGGGACGAACTGGGACGAACTGGGGCCGAGCCGCGGCCGCGCTGGGGGAAGAAAGTGTGGGGGAGTCGTGCTGGGAGGGACTGGGAGGGACGAGGATCGTGCTGGGAGGGACTGGGACAAACTGGGATTGTACTGGATAGTACTGGGATTGTACCAGAGCAGACTGGGACAAACTGGGATTGTACTGGATCGTACTGGGATTGTACCAGAATGGACTGGGACAAACTGGGATTGCACTGAATTGTACTGGGATTGTACCAGAATGGACTGGGACAAACTGGCGTTGTACTGGATGGTACTGGGATTGTACCAGAACAGACTGGGACAAACTGGGACCATACTGGATTGAAAAACGCCAGAAAAAAAGGGAGAAAAATGGAACAAGAAAAAAAAAAGGCAGAAAACCAGCAGGTGGGGTAAAAAACCTCCAAGATTCCAGGGATTTTTCCAGCAATATTTTAATTACAGGACAAAGAAGCCGCTACGTGAATATATATTTATATAATAAATCCGTAAAGTTATAAAGGAAATCGGAAATTTCTGCTTCCCGTTAAAATTTCCAGGATCAGGCGCTTTATTAGGTGGATTCTCCTTAATTTTCCTTGTTTTCCTCCTTAATTCTCCTCCTCTTTCATATTTTTTCTTTATTTCTCCACAGTTCTCCTCATTTTTCTCCTCTTTATTTATCATTATTTTCCCATTTTGTCCGTATTCCTCCAGATTCCTCCACGGTTTTCCTCATTTCCCTCTCAATTTTTCCACACTCCTCGACATTTTTTCCCCTCGTTTCTAATTTTCCGCATTTCTCCTCATTTTGCCTCATTTTTTCTCCGCGTTTTTCCTCACTTTGCCTCGCGTTTTTCCCGATTTTTCTCCTAATTTCTCCGCATTCCTCCTCATTTTCTCCTCATTTCTCCCCTGTATCCCGCTGCTTTCCCCTTGTTTTCTATTTTTTGTGGGGTTTTTTGTGGTTTTTTGTGGTTTTTT